GCGGGTCATAGTCTTTCAATGAATGCAAATACATTGTGTCATCTTTCTTACTTAAAGACAATTTTGTTGTTCACCTTTCTATCGTCAGTTGGTTTTATGATTTAAACACTTTGTAGGGAATATTACCACTCGGATCAGTTTGTCTGTCTATTTTGCCATAGGTATCTATTCAATAAGCAGGTCTTCCTTGGGGAGAGCTGGGTAGCTGTGCATGTGTATGCCTGTCTTATTCTAGTGCATTCATACTCCGGTTGGCCCGCTACCTCTGAATGACGCCATTGGGGAACAGGGGCGGGCTCCACTGGAAGAAGGCTGTCCTCGAGGTCAGGGTCTGAATCTGGGGAGAGGACAGTCCCGAGGGTGGAGCTGGAGGGGTTCTCAGCTCTGCCGTTGGCCCTTTGCTGCAGCAGTTGAAACAAGTGCAGGCCTCTACCCCAATGGAGTACACAGTGAAGGGCTGCAGGCCACGCAGAGTCTGCCGGGTGGCCATGCCTTCAGACAGCTGCAGGAGGAGAGAGAAGACAAGATCAGGCAGTGTCACAAATCATAGACGACTGACAGACGTGCACCACATATCCAGCCTCCTATGAATGGAGTGCCATGCTATGCTCTCTGGGAGATGCACCACTGCATTTAGCATAACATTTACCCTCTAGGAATTACCAACCTGCTTGGAGAGGCGTGACTTCAACATGCAAAAAATGTAATGATTCAACAATTAGACAGAAGTTTGAGGTAACAGGATAGAAATCACAAGGGATATACTGTCTATTACCATAGAAAGATAACTGAAAAATGGCACAAAACACACAAAATATTGGTCAAATTCTGTGAGTCTGAGAATGACACCTTTTCAAAAACCAAAATCTGTATTTGACTTATTTCTAGTTAACATTCACTAAGGTCCACATTCTGCCATTGCTACTTGCATGTGATTTTGGGGCTGAAAATACCCTCAGATCCATGTGAGAGTTGGGTATTTCAGAGCATGAGTATTTATAAATTAGTATATTTTATATATATTTAAGAGTGTGAAAGTTTATTCCTTCTGATGGTGGTGTTTTACATGAAATATCATAACCTTTTTCTCAATTATCTTTGTTGCATTTTAAACTTTTTGGTTTATTTGGAGCAAATTTGTTCCCTCATTGTGGCTTTATTAAGTACTCTTTGGAACAGAGGAGTTCAGAAACTGGGAACTAATTTTCACATTGACATAAGCAACATATAATTAAGAAGAGCCATCAATTATTTAAAAAATGCATACAATGCACTCCAAATATAAATTATTTTAGTTTATTAATATTATCATTTTATAAGCATGAATAATCAAGGGTTGATTGTATTTACATCATCTATATTTATTGACTACAAAGCCCTGTAGAAAATATGCTAATACTCCTTTAACATTCCATACCAGGCTTCCTTGTATAAGAGTTACCTTTTGAAATTGTGTTTCAATACCTGGCCCTCTGGCCTCAGAGGATTTCTCTACACTCGCCCAAATTGTTCTGAGAACTAGGCTTGAGATGGATTAATGATTGTGCATTGAGCATTGACCCCCCTATACAGAATTTTATTGTTGTTAACAACCATTTGATCAATAAATATGAGAGATGCCCTCTCAAAAAAAAAAGGTACTTATTTCATTCTTAATACCTTTTATATTTGCCATTTTTAAATAATAGATACTTCTACATTATAAAATCTGACCAGAAGTTATTGTGTATAAATGTAAGGACGCCCCAGGTAATTAGTCAATTGCCCTTTTGTTTATCTTGAGAGCACCATACCTCCATGCTCGCTGGAAATACTAGAGATTATGCTACGTAATTTGAAAGGAAGAGGAGAAACAAACTTGTTTAAATAAATCACCCCAAGTGTTTGTCTATTTTTATCCTTTCCATACATAGTTTAACCATCTCTAAATTGGTTTCACCCCATCACTACATTAAAAAATCTTCCTAAATTCACCTTTGTTCTCCATATTATTAAATGCAATAGGCATTTTTTTGCTCGATCATCTTCATTGATGCCTCAGTAGCATTCAGTGCAATCAGACACTCGCTCAATCAATCCCTCTGAAAAACTGGTTTTCCCTACTTCTCACGACAAGTCCTGCCTCGCTGCACCCCTACCTCTCTGGCTTGTGGTGGCCCCTGCTTGTACTCACATTCTGTTTGAGTGGTGAAGCTGATCCACGCAGAAGCGGTGCTGCCCACCTCGTTGTGGGCTATCACTCTCAGCTCGTAGCGGGTGTAAGGCTGGAGACCCTCGAGGCTGGCCCTCTGCCCTGGCCCCATGTACTTTGTCTCCACGTGGCCAGGAGTACAGGGAATGGCAGAGTCAGGAGGGCAAGCCACGGAGAGCTGGAGCTCATAGCTAGAATGAGAACGAATACATGAAGAGAAAACAGTGGAATTAGTTTAACTCTCTTAAAACTAGTTATGTTTGTGGAGGAGGCATTTTGTTTTCATTAAACCACCAGCTCTTTAACATTTACATGTATAGGTAACTGCTCTTACAAACACTTGGTTTAATGTTGTGGGAAATAAGAGAAATAAGAGAAATCACATGTGTGCCCATGTTGGGAGTCTGTCCACAACTAGTAATCCTTGTTGGTAGAGATATTTCTTTTTAGAGGCAAGGGATAAAATGGTTCTTCTCTGTTGAAAATTAAGAGTATCTTTTTTCCTCTAGATTATTTTGAGGGAAATAACTTCTTTGTTCTTTCAAACAGTGAGTGGTTCACTATAATATTTTAAATTAGATTTAAAAAATCTGATTTAACCACAGGAGCTATAGCCAATGCCCATAGAGTGAGTGATTCCAGAGAACCATGAGGCGGGTCATAGTCTTTCAATGAATGCAAATACATTGTGTCATCTTTCTTACTTAAAGACAATTTTGTTGTTCACCTTTCTATCGTCAGTTGGTTTTATGATTTAAACACTTTGTAGGGAATATTACCACTCGGATCAGTTTGTCTGTCTATTTTGCCATAGGTATCTATTCAATAAGCAGGTCTTCCTTGGGGAGAGCTGGGTAGCTGTGCATGTGTATGCCTGTCTTATTCTAGTGCATTCATACTCCGGTTGGCCCGCTACCTCTGAATGACGCCATTGGGGAACAGGGGCGGGCTCCACTGGAAGAAGGCTGTCCTTGAGGTCAGGGTCTGAATCTGGGGAGAGGACAGTCCCGAGGGTGGAGCTGGAGGGGTTCTCAGCTCTGCCGTTGGCCCTTTGCTGCAGCAGTTGAAACAAGTGCAGGCCTCTACCCCAATGGAGTACACAGTGAAGGGCTGCAGGCCACGCAGAGTCTGCCGGGTGGCCATGCCTTCAGACAGCTGCAGGAGGAGAGAGAAGACAAGATCAGGCAGTGTCACAAATCATAGACGACTGACAGACGTGCACCACATATCCAGCCTCCTATGAATGGAGTGCCATGCTATGCTCTCTGGGAGATGCACCACTGCATTTAGCATAACATTTACCCTCTAGGAATTACCAACCTGCTTGGAGAGGCGTGACTTCAACATGCAAAAAATGTAATGATTCAACAATTAGACAGAAGTTTGAGGTAACAGGATAGAAATCACAAGGGATATACTGTCTATTACCATAGAAAGATAACTGAAAAATGGCACAAAACACACAAAATATTGGTCAAATTCTGTGAGTCTGAGAATGACACCTTTTCAAAAACCAAAATCTGTATTTGACTTATTTCTAGTTAACATTCACTAAGGTCCACATTCTGCCATTGCTACTTGCATGTGCTTTTGGGGCTGAAAATACCCTCAGATCCATGTGAGAGTTGGGTATTTCAGAGCATGAGTATTTATAAATTAGTATATTTTATATATATTTAAGAGTGTGAAAGTTTATTCCTTCTGATGGTGGTGTTTTACATGAAATATCATAACCTTTTTCTCAATTATCTTTGTTGCATTTTAAACTTTTTGGTTTATTTGGAGCAAATTTGTTCCCTCATTGTGGCTTTATTAAGTACTCTTTGGAACAGAGGAGTTCAGAAACTGGGAACTAATTTTCACATTGACATAAGCAACATATAATTAAGAAGAGCCATCAATTATTTAAAAAATGCATACAATGCACTCCAAATATAAATTATTTTAGTTTATTAATATTATCATTTTATAAGCATGAATAATCAAGGGTTGATTGTATTTACATCATCTATATTTATTGACTACAAAGCCCTGTAGAAAATATGCTAATACTCCTTTAACATTCCATACCAGGCTTCCTTGTATAAGAGTTACCTTTTGAAATTGTGTTTCAATACCTGGCCCTCTGGCCTCAGAGGATTTCTCTACACTCGCCCAAATTGTTCCCTCAGTTGGTCTAAATAATTTATAATGTAATACTGGGATGTGCACAGTTTCTCTATGAAGTTTGTGTGAAGTAAGGATTACAATCTGTCCTTGTTCATGAGAAACAAGAGTGACACAAGCTGTGTCCCAAAGAAAAGAGACTTTGTCCCACTGGCTGTTAGTCTCTTCATTGCCATAACGCAGGAGCTGGTGGAAATGATTATCAGTGTCCCTACCAGGCAATGCCTTAGCTAAAATGCCATGGGAAAGATGATCTCCTCCGCGCCCATCCTGGCACCTTGACGTGCCCCAGACATGTTCAGACACAAACGGCTGTGCTGAGCTGTTCTGCAGTCTCTTCCAAAGGCCCAGAACTCAAAGTCCCCAAAATGAAGGCGGAGATTTCAGTGCTTGTTTCAGAGATTTGCGCATGCCAGAAAGGGGCTGCTGAGGATACCCGGCTCTAGTTCTTCTTTTTCACGTTCACGTGTACACCACCGACGATGGCCACCGACTACACGCCACGCCACGACTCCGCCAAGGGCTTGACGTGTGTTTTCTAATTAAATTAAATCCAGTTAATTTGATTGTCTCTAAGTGTTAGGTTTCTCATGACTTCTGTGGAGTCATGAGTACCCCCGCGAGCCCTTCTCTCCCTGAGCATTTACAGATTCTGCGTGTCTCCTAACATCCGCTGTTTCTTCTCAGAGGGCGCTTTGTGCAGCTAAGTTCACCACGGGCAATTCAGAGCAGATGGATAATAAGGAAGCACCAAGAAGAAAAGACAGGGGCACTGGAGCTTATTTTTAAAAAGAAACCCGAACTGGATTTTTAGCTCAGAGTTCTCTGCTACTCACCACCGTCTCGGCCCCACGGGAGCTGGAGAACAACCTATAGAGGCTGATGATCCCGTTGGGCTTCCCAGGGGCGCTGATGCTGACCGTGGCTTGGGTGGAGGAGACCGCGTGGAACCTGGGGGCGCTCAGACCTTCTGGGGGGGCGGGTCCCGTTCTGCACTGCTTCCAGCTGCTGGGGGCTTTTCCTGCTGAATTCATTGCCCAGACCTCCAAAGAGAAATGAGTAAGACCCTTCAAAAGCAAGGTAACCTCAGGCCGAGAAGAGGTGGCAAGTGCAGGCAACTAAGCACAACAGAATGAGATCAACTGTGATCTCGGAACTTTGTGATCGCAGAGGAGGGCAGGTGCTTCCTCTTTCTGTGCCTTTGACCATGTGAACACAAAGGGGGCCGACTGGGAGCGCCGGTTTCACAATGCAGCAGTCTGATGTAAGTCGAAGGAACAACTGCTCATCTCTGAGCAGGGTGTAGAGTGATCTTGTCAGCTTCTGCAAACTGGATGGGTCTGCCGACTACATAAACTCAGCGATTCTTAAACACCCTTTCCACCAAATCTGCATGAAAATTAAATTTCCCTTTCATCAAGGAGGAAATAAACATATGGAAGGATGCATAATCTTATTTATCAAGAACTATTTGTATAATTAAACACGAATATCCTAAAAGGTTACCTTAGGTCATCATTTGCATGAGTAAGTAATTTGTAGAATGTCAGGTTCAATAGACAGAGTAGATGGATGTGTGAGTGTATAGGGTTAAATTAGACCCAATAATAGGCAACCACACAGTGATCAATCAGAATGATAGATCTAAATGGCAATACAAGAAGACTGTCTGTGTGTTTGGGAGTGGGAGTATTTCTTAGTAAGCTTTCATGTTGTGCAAGTCTAACTTCAGGAAATTTCTTTTTCATTTGGTGCCTATGTATTTGCACTGAGCTTTTTAAAGTCTGGAAAGCTAGTTTGATTCTATAGTACACATGTACCAAATGAGCAGTATTAAAAAAATATGCAGAACATTCAAAATAAGAGATATTTAGGCTTTGCGGTGAGAGTTTAGTTTCCATTTTGTTTGTTTTGCTTTTGCATCAGTAATATCAGAGAGAGAAAAAAATATTAGATTTTTTAGTAGTTAGGCCAACTCCTGTCAGTGTTCCCATACATTTTTGGGCAGATTCCTTTGTAAAATTTCTAATGTTGAATTGCTCTCAGATTGCTGCCACTACGTATCTCCAGCCCCTTGCTGATCAGATTGCCAGAAGCCCCATTTTTAAGAGACAGCTAACCTCCTTACACAGCAGAACCTGCTTTTTCAGAGCTCTGATACATTTTCATCATTTGCATAATGATCTTTCACATTTGTATAAACCTTACACTTTTACAGAGCACTTTAAAATACTGACTTAGTCTTCCCAAAACAACCTTGTAGGGCGGCTGGAGAATGTACTATTAGCTCCCTTTACAGGTGAGGAAATTGAGGTTCCCCAAATGTCACTGTCTTGTTCAAGGTGATAGAAATTACAAGTGAAACTAGAATTCTACTTTTCAACAAACTCTTCTATTGCTCTTTCCACTAAACTGTGCCTTTGATTCTGAATGTCATTCACATGCATAAATAGGATAGTATCAAGAAAATTAAATGATTTATCAATAGACAAATACCTGCAATTCTGGATTAGGTAAAATCTCTCAGCTTGCAAGGAGGGTAGACATGCCCAGGCTGTCTTAGGTGATGGACGTTTATTTTCATAGGCCCAGGGAAGTAAGGAGCAGGGAACTGTCTTAGCAATGGGAGAGCCAGACTTCATGGAAACCAGAGCCCAGGTCAGAAAACAACTGTAGCTGCTCTTATAGTCCCCTCTGAAATGGCCAAGGTCAGTCTTACAATAGGGAGGGTAGGTATGAGGTAATTGATGAAGAGATCAGAATTCAGGGCTGATGAGAAAAAGTCCCTGGCTACTCAGCCTGCTTCGTATCAACTCCTTTTATGGCAATATGTTTTGAGGGGTTGGTGGGGGGAATGATTTTTTTATTAAACAATGAGTGACAAAGTTTGAAAAGAAGATATTCTTGGGAAAAAGATACAAAATAAGGTATATATACTAATATCAAATTCTTTGTTAAGAGTTGGGCTTTGGCTGGTTAGTTAAGGTGTTAAAAGATAAACAGAGGCATATTAAAAATTTTGAGTTTATTTGAACAAAAAGCAATTTTACTCACTCAGGGCTAAACCAGAAGTGGTAAGAAATGCTCTGCCTACAGGAACCAGGGAAAAGATATATAGCAAAAGTACAGAAGCAAAGAAAGGATTATTTGATTGGCTATAGCTTAAACCCTGTTGGCTCTATGTCTTTGGATGTCTTTAGTATTCTGATTTTATAAATTTGAGGCATTTACCAGATTAGATTTTGGCTTGTTTACATAAGCCTCCATGGCTTTATAGCCACCTCAGTCTAATGGCTTCCTTGCTTAATTAAACAAAAAGCATACAGAATTTTAATAGAGGCCATGATGAATGGGGAAGAAAACAAGGAAGAAAATACAACTACATATAATAAAATGAAAATTCAGCAAGTTGCCAATTAATTACTGAGCCCAACAAGATACAGCAATTGTGCAGGTATGTGGGTGCTGAAAGATAATGAAATTAAATAAGTATAATTCATAGAAAGTGGTTGGCATAGTTCTGGCTCAGGATTATAAACCTTAACTTTGCTTTTATTTTTGATGTAGATATAGAATCATAAATACTATTAAGGCTTTTTAATGCTAGTGTCAGCAGACAGCACTAAATCTCATGTCTTCCTATATTACAGGAGCTTTTATTGGGTGGAATCCTATTTCCAAATGTGATTTAATTCATGGTATTTAAAACACTTGAGCCTCAATATTATAGTGTTTTGCTGTATTTCTTTATTTTCTCCTCTGAAAATTAGGCAATACAAAATTCCCCATCATAACTGGGAATGTATGTAGGATCTAGTGTCTTTTGTCTTTGACAGAGGACCTTCATAACACAGTGCTCTTTTTCTTAGTCTTTCTTTTTAGTATTCAATCAATTTGAGATCAAAATAGCATTCATATAAATCAACATTCTTATGCAAAGCAGGATCAGCCTATTTACATGAGCCTCTCTGAAAATGAAAAAGCAGCTACAATGAAGAGAAAGTTGACTGAAATAATGAAGCGTTATGGATTTCACAAAACTTGTGCCACAAGGCAAGGTTTCTGTTATCCCAAATTACTAGAAGAAAAGTACAAAAAGAAACATCAATTATATTCTGTTGAGGCAAAAGTCCTTACCTCCAAAATCTATGGGATTTTTGTTGATGCCCAGCTAAACAAGAGAAAAAGGAACTGAAGTGTACTTCAGGGTTCAGAATAAAACTATCAGATTATGTTTATGATTTCTACTGAAGAAACAATGGCCCCTACATTTGGGTCCACTGTTACAGGGTGGAGGAAGAAGCAGTGATCTTGCACGGGGAATTTGAGCGATATGCCCTGACCTTTTAATTTTAATATATCAATATGAAAATCAAGAAATGAAATATCTTGTGAGTAGACATAGAGTTGCTTACTGATCTATATCTATCATCTATCTATCTGTCAGTCATCAAGGATATCATCTGTTTATCTTCACCAACTATTTACCTACCTTTTTTACCTAACTAAAAAGCCATCCATCTGATTTATATCCCAAGATACCTTTGCATGATCTTTGGGTACCCAGTGGGTGGGCTGCTCACAGAAATGAAGGAACATGTTTGGGGTGGGCAGGGGAAGTAAGACTTATGAATTCATGGTCAAGAGAAAAAAAAGTTTGGATAATCTCCATTTTTTATTTATATTTATTCAGAATATCTGTATACCTACAGTATCTAGCTGAACATACTTATTCTTTTGTATTGAAAAAATTAAAATTAAAGATGATTTAAGTTTTCACTAGAATAACATAATATTGGGTTTATCAAAACTTGCACACACAATTATAACTATAAGAGTTAGGAACTCCCCATAAAGAGCTATTAAAAATGAGAGTAAGTTAGGTCATTGCCAAGTTAGGGTGCTTTCTTCTCTAAGGTTTTGATTGTAACCACGAAAAGAATTACAGTGTAAGATGTCACAGAAAAACATAGATTAACTATTGCAATAAAAATAAAATAACTAAAATCATTTAACCGCAAATTCTATCATTGAGTAGCCCAACAGTAGATTGATTTCTGCTTATGATTGTTTTCTATCAAATTTTTAAAAAATCCAGTGACTATTAACATCTTTTCGTATTGGCCTTTAAAAAAATGAAACTGTTCTTTAATTTATTCTCCTCCCTCACCCCTGAGGACCAATGACTGTATTTGCCTTAAAAAAATTTAATTTCCTTAAAGTGTTAACATTTGCTACCCAGCTGCCAAAATTCCATTGCTGTGGTAACAATGGGTTTAATCATTTGTTCTCTGTTGAAAACTGCCTCTTAGGAATCTTCAGAGGAGGCTGTCAAAATGTGTTCCTTGGCCACAATCATCAAAATCATTTTTAGCACCTTTATTAGAATTTCTGGTGAATGGAATGAGGAACCTGCCTTTTCAACCCATTTCTTTGAAATTCTTGTGCCTAATACTGTTTGAGAAATGCAGAGAGATTTTCTGTACAGAGCAGGTACAGAAATGTAGGCACTATAAGTTCCTACTATGGTTCCCTTCCTGTGAGGTCTGCTTAGGTGTTCTTTGCATCACTGTTGCTGTAACTTTCAGTCATTCAAATAAGCACGGAGCAGGTATGTTTTTGAATATGTTACAATTGCAATAATTGTCGTAGAGTTGACTACAGTGGCCATCATTGCAAACAGAACCAGAGCCCATTAGCTTTATAGAACCATTTGCTGCCTAGTTTTCACACTAAGGTGCGAATTTCCTGAAACCCTGATATCTCTCGAACTTGTTGGTTTTATTTTCCATTGCAGCCCAAATGAACATTATTCTAAATGCTCCTAATCAATCCAACGTGTCTGCTCCTAATTTTATTGCAGAAGGAAAGCAAGAATTTGTGAAAATTAGTATTTGTAATAATTTTTGTAAAAGAGAAAGAAAAGGAAGCACAACTCTGCAGAAGATGGGAGAAGGGGAGATGCATCCAAAATTTTCCCAAAGTGGTGGCCCATTAGGTGCTTACATTTGTGCTAGTGAACCAATTAATTTTTAAGCACAAT